ATTTGCTCCATCAGATTTTCTCATTTCTTCAGTGGTCTACTCTCAAGAGGGTGCTTATACTTCAATTCATTGCTGCTTTGGACTCATTTGCTGCTGATTATTCTGCACTATGTGTTCGTTTACTGTTTGATTTGTTGTTGAAGAGTTGTTTCCTTTTAGCTGGCAGAAGTTCTTTGTTTCTAATTTTTGCATGCTGGCGGTGGATCTCTCTCTTGGATAGGCGGCTTTTTGTTTTTTGCTTTCCATCAGTTAGATGGAACATTTCATTGTTGTGCTGCTGTGAGGGGTTCTGGGGTTGTTTTTTTCACAAAATGTCCATTTGTTAATACAAGATTCATGGGTGATTTCTTTTTATTGGCAGCTTCTCCATTTTGCTTCATAAGTAGTAATGATTGTGGTCAGTTGGATCTTTTCATTGGCATGTTATTGGATCTTTAAATTGTATTTCATTATAATATTGTAATAATTCTTTTTCTATCGAACAAAGAACCTTTAAAAATTCTATTGATAATTTTGAATCGAGATGCCTTGCATCCTTATCTCAAGGATTAATGTTTCTTTCTTGTCTATCGACAAGTCTGTGATTGAATATAGTAATTAACATTGAGCCTATGCAATGGTGTTTCATTTCTTGATTCAGTTTTGAAAGTAAACCTGAAGAAAGTGAAGGATATTCAAGCATTAGAAAGCATTGCTCAGAACGAAAACGTTTGCACATTGTGTAAGGAATACACTACTTTGGCAGTTGATTACCTCGAAGCAAACAAAACACAGGATGAGATCATTGATGCACTTCAGAAGGCCTGCTCTCGGATGCCAACTTTCAAGGATAAGGTAATCACCTTGTTTTATTGAAGTACCATTGCTTAGGGATAATATTTTGCACATGAACTTGTTTAATCGGACCCGTCTGAATTCGATGGAATACGATTTTTTTTCATTAAAGTAGAGGTTCATATTGGCAAGAAAAGAGGGGTTGTTTCGAGTTTGATTTTTCAAAACCCGTCCGAGCCTAACCTACTATGTATATATATATTCAATTTTTTTAATTATATATATTTGTATTTATATAAATAAATAAAATATATTAAATGAGAAATATGATTATATTTATATTGATAAATATAATTAATATATATTATTATATATATTTATTTTTAATTTTTTATTAAAATAAATATAAATTATATTAATATAATAAAATGATCAGGTTGAATTAAGGTAACTCGTAAACCCAACGCGCTCCAGAAAAATAAAAAAAAAATTCAAACTCGGTTTTGTGTCCAGGGCAGATTTAGGCTTGCTTTCTATATGAGTGGATCAGGTTCAGATTTGATAAAACCTGCCTAGAACCTGCCCTGTTTGTCATCCCTACTATAGCTAAAACACAAAATCGTGGTTCTAAGCTAGTAAATTTGTGCCACTTTCTGCTATAGCCTCGTCTTGCCCTCTTCCATGTCATTTTACCCATTCACTCATTGTCCCTTTTCTTGGATTTCCTAGCAGAGATATGTGAACATATTGCATATGCATGAATTTGTGTGAGTCGTGTGCTCTTATAATGTTAGGTTGATGGGATGCCTTATCATTTTGGTGGATTAAGTAAACATGGATGCGTAATTGCTTCCAAATGGACCATCGAGAAAGTAAATAGTCTTCTAGACATGCTGTACGATCTAAATATGTTCTATTCATATGTACATAGAAGTGTCGAAAAATCAATTCCTGATTGTGGGCAAAGGAAGATGATACAGGCATAGAAAGCTGAAACTTTGGAATTCGTGGAAGCTTTCATGATTTCTCTCTCTCTCAAAATCTTTAGATGCATTATTGTTGAACTCATTTCATTTTTCAGTCCTCCCACCAGATTTGATTTGGATTTTCTTCGTTTCAATGGCAGTGCATTACTTTGGTAAATTACTATAGTTCTATTTTCTTCTTGGAGATATCTTCAATCCAACCTGAAGAATTCTGTAGAAAAGTCAACCTCTGTGAAAAAGTGGTCTTCCTCGCATCAGAATTCCATGAAGATAGCTGTGGGATGTGTCATCGTGCTGTTTCTGAAGTATTGATCAAGTTGAAAGATCCTGATACACAGGTTTATCAATTTTGTTCCAAGCTACTAGCCTATGTTTCCAATTATTTATCTGATCTTTTTAAACTTTGCTTACAGTCTTTTATGTCTAAAACTGTCATGGCTTTTACTTTCTGCATTCTAGTTATTTGCATATGCAATTATTCTCCCAGTAAGCATATGTTGAGAGTGACCCCTCTTTCCTACTTTGCTTTCTACTTTCCTTAGCATATACTCCTTTGATAACTCAAAATGATGCCAGCATATAAGCTATATGTTCCGCGGATGTCTTTCTTGTCCCTACAGTGATGCAAATTTCAACTGGTTACTGTGGAAAGTGTTTTTGCTTATTAACATGGAAAATGGTTCTGTTTCTCAGCCAATGTTTCCTTTGTGGTTCTCCTTTGCTCCACTATATTCTGCTTTTGTTACATGTAATATTCAAACCAGCAAATATTATTAATATAAGGGTACTGAGGGTTGATCATACAGTTTACTTCTCCTGAAACCGAGGTGCTGATTCATGCAGTTGCATTGTTTCTTTTTCTTTGAAAGAAAAATATAAGTGTATTAGTGACAGGTGCCAAGGGAGCACCACCCATATACAAAATTTACATATCAATAAATATATTTACAATGGAAACAAAATCTACATTACTATCAATATCGTGCCCTAATATAGTAGCACCAAGATAGTGGAACCAATTGTCTTTTAAGGTATTGAAGTCAAGTTCTTTTCCATCAGAAGCATGCTTGTTTCTTTCCTTCCGAATGACCCAAAATGCAGTTGCATTATTTCTATCAGTTTATGGTGCGTAGAGGGCTGGCCATGATCTAGCTGAGCCAAAAATATATGGGTATTTAGATTTGTTTTTTATAAAAATATTGTCAAGCTTGAATTTGGGTCAAAGCTCAGTACAACTTTATTTTTAGCTCAATTTTGGCTCTTCAAAAAACTATTAAGAGTTTGAACTCGTCTCAAGAAAATCTTGCTACTGTGGCTATGATGTTACTCTTGAAGTGAAAACATATGTTAATTAGCAGAAGCTACTGTTTTGATGTCAGCTAGAGATAATCGAGCTGCTTTTGAAGGGATGCAAGTCCATGCAGAACTATGCTACAAAGGTCAGAACTGAAATGTAAAAGTTTTCATGGATTAGTTTTTAAGCGGTAGTTTGGAGTTTAGATTGTGCTGAAAAGTATATGAATGCATTGGGAGGGTTTTTTTTCATCCGAAGTAGATATAGAGGGCGGTTTGCAGGTAGGATATATGTTTGGGAAGAACTTTTCTGATTCTTTTAATCTTTTTTATCTGGCAGTGTAAGAAGATGGTTTTTGAGTACGGCCCCTTGATCCTTGTCAATGCAGAGCAGTTTCTGGAAAAGACAGATGTGTGCACCATGCTTGGTGCCTGTAAACCTGGCACTGAGAAGGCCTCAGAAGTGGTAAATGTAAATTTATCGGCAGACTCATGATTATCGCATCGTAGATGGTATATCACGCTAAATTAATTTCCAGAAAGAAAAACATAGGCTAAATTGCTGCTTTGATGTTCTTGCCCTCCCCGATGTGTTATATTTGGACTAGAATAATTAACTTGTGAAGTGATATGGTGCATTTGCTGTAAAGTATACTCCATTATATGTGAATACTACTTTGAAATTTGTCAAACATTGAATAGCCTAATATATATGGTTTGAGGTACTTTTCTCTCCTACAGATCTGTGCCTTTGGTTGTTGGTCATTTTGTTCTATTTCTGCTGGGTTTACAACATAACACACCTTCATTACTGACGGGAGAGATTGTTAGGCTATTTTATTTTTTTCTTTTGGCGAAAAAAATATATGATTAAGGTTAAGTAAACCCAAGAGTTTGTGAGATTATTGAAAGATATGTTGGTAAGGAAGTATAAGGTTTTAAATTATTTAGTGTGTAAATTTGTATTTTATAAAAAGAATTAGTCACATAAAGTACTACGAATGTATTATGAGTTAGGGAAATAACTCAATTTAGTTCCTAAGTACTCTTTTTCGTTCCAAACATTTTTGAACTTTCTTCAATGTTCAAATCATTAAATTTGTGAATAAATAAAACGAAGAACATAGCAACTGTCAGGACCCTAAGAAAACAACTTGCAGTTTATGGGGAAGTTGACGAAGGCTTAAACACAAACTATAACTCGGGTTTTTTTGTCTTTTTATTTATTTATTCATGGAATTAATTATTTAAAATGTTGAAAAAAATTCGGAGAGTTTTATGAAAATAATAAACAAGTTGAAATCGAATTGTAATAGTCGCCATATTTGGAGAATCAAATTGAATATTTGCCCTTTTATATACATACACACACTGGTACTTTGCAAAATATAAATTTGCTAGACAAGGAAAATAAATTTATAAGAATGCGAATATGATGTATTTATTGTTTATATTACTATAGAAACTTAAATAACAATCTATTTTATCTTACCAAATATGAATGTTAAAATAAAATACTTAAAATCAGTATATATAAGACTAATATATAAAGTCAACACATAAAAATATTCCTATTACAACATCTAAAGAAGTAGAATTCAAGAAAGAGAGAATTTGTTTTTTTGATGGTCAATAATCTCTTCTGTTTTGTTGAAGGTGACTTAACAAATATTGATAAACTAATTGGTGTTGAAAATATCGTGAAGCAGGATAAAGCTATCCCAAAAGACCGCCTAGTCTAAATTCTAAAACCTGTAAATGGGA